ATGGATCAACAGGGAAGCCATTACTCTAACACTGGCAACTAGAGAAAAAACTAGAGTCCCGATTTCTGATTGTCCTGTTTACAGTTCTAAGTGTAAGCATGAGCCTGAGGAAGTACTGCTCACATGGAGATTTATACACACACACACACACACACACACACACACACACACACACCATCCATGAGACTAGCTCTTTCTGATTATACTAAAATGTTAATGGAATAAATTTAGTGCTGTAATCTATTGAATTGTTGGCTGGTATACTGTTAATGAATTACAATGGTACAAGTCAGACTTACACCATCAGAACTCACTTTTTTTGGTGGTTGCAGAAGGAAGAATTCAAAAACCATGCGACAACCAAAATCCCCTCTGAAACTCACAGCACAGACCCCCCAACATAGCCATCTCTGTGTTGTTATAGAGCAGGGGGATAAGTTGGGACATGCCCAGCTATTTTTCTGTAGCTAAATATGCTGTAACGACATAATCTGCAGAGACCTTCTGAGGATCCCCAGAGATCTCCACAGATATCTGTCACAGCACACTCAGCTACAGGAAAATAGGGGTATGTGTCTCTACTCTCCAACAACAAATACAGAGTTGTGGAGGTGGGGACTGAGCTGCTTACAAAATGAGTTTTGTGGTGCTATTATCAGGATATCAAGCTATAGAGACGTAACTATGTGGTGCATGCATACCTCCTGATGCAGAATCATGGCCTTTGTTTCTTGAAAGCTAGTAGAAGCAATTGTGGGAAAATGTTAATCCAAAGATTTTCATGATACTGACAAGATTTATTTATTGGATTTATGTCTCACGTTTCTCCCAAAATGGGATTCAAGGCAACTGATCTTAAGATGATTGTTACAAGTTATCCAATCATATGGCTATTTACTTAAAAAAAAAACCAGATCTGTCTTTTTCCGTAGTAGTTTACTTTCAGATACACATACATAGTATGTTGTTGTTAATTACCTTCAAGTCAACCTCAGCCCATGGAGACCCTATATATGAGAGATCTCCAAGTCACCCCATCCTCAATAGCCCTGCTCAGCTCCAGCAGACTTATGACTGGCTTCTCTTATTAAGTCTATCCATCTGGGATGCGGTATTTCTCTTTTACTATTGCCCTCCACTTTACCAAGTGTTATAGGAGATGATCACACAGGGAAAATTGTGGGATTAAAAAGGCATTTTCCCAAGACAGTCACACTATCGTAGCTAAGATTTTCGCACGACATCACAATCTGAGAGGACTTATCCTGGGAAGAACTAGGAATGCTCCAGCAACAAATCATTCATTGGATAGTCTCCTAGGTATTTTCTAGTGAATCCTTTCTTTTCATAATATGGCCAAAATACAACAATCTCAGCTTAGTTATCTTTGCTTCCAGGAAGAGTTCAGGCATGAACTTCTCTAGGATCCATCCATTGGCAGTCCATGCTATCTGCAGAACTCTTCTCCAGCACATTTCAACTGAGTCAATATTTGCCAGATGTTGACCATAGAATCATGCTGGAGGACCTGCAAATTCCTAGATAAGTTTTTTTCCCTAGGAACTTCTAGGTTCTCCAGAACAACACTGGAGGACCTAGAGATTCCTAGAGAGAACATTTTAATCAAAACCTCAAATAATCAAATCCGCAAAAGTCAAAGCCACAAATGTGGAGGACCAACTGTATTTTGATCTCTTTCCCATCTACTTTAAAATTATATAGATCATCTGTGGTCATAATTTTTGTTTTCCTAATGTTCATATGTAGTATTGCAGTCTAATTTGCTTGCACTTATATTTGCATTATAGGGAAAGGCTAAACATCAGAGGTGTAAGAGTACAAGCCTTGTAGGCAGAATATCGCAACATCATCAGCTTCTGATAAGACTTGAAAAATCCTGTCTGGAACCATGAAAAGCCAGTGCCATTCATTTTCAACAATACTGAGCAAGATGGACTAATGGCCTGACACAGTATAAGGCAGCTTCCTAGGATCCAGTGGGCTGAACAATAATACATAATCTCCATGGTCAAGTGGTGCTTTGTCAAGCTATGACATTATATAGTTTAGTTTCTAAATCAGTGTTTTCTTCCCTCCCTATTGTCTGATGGAGAAAGAGGAACTTATTCATTATGGTGATGGTAGTAAATTAATGACTGCCTGCTTAGGCCACACACTTCAAGTGCTTTCCCATTCACCTCAAGCCCCATGACTGTTCTAGCAATCACAATGAACAATGTATTTCAGGTCATTATGGTGTGCTAGTGAGTACCATCTCTGAGGATTTTGCAAATATTTTCTTGTGTGCTTGCCCGATGGACTAACAGGTAAATCATTCAAACTGATCCCTCCCAAACTCCTTAAACACTTATATTTTGCTTTCTTTTAACTTTAACAACAGGCTTCCCTATAAAGTTACTGGATTCTGCATTAAGCTTTAAAAATCTACTGTTCATTTTCTCTTTAAAAACCCCCAAATCCCACTTTTCAGGGTTCTTTGGACTTAAAATGTTATATGAAATTCAAACCACACAGACTGTGAAATGTGATACTTGCTCCACTGAAATAAAGGAAGTATGGAGGATTCAGGGAGGAAGAATGGAAGGGACAGAAATGTCCCCCACATACATGCAAGCACCCCTGCATTTTGTTTTTCAAAACAATACACAAAGAATAACACCTAGTATTATTTTATCTCACTAGGATTCCCAAGAATTAAGACAGAAATGTGGCTGTAAACAATATTCAAAAATGTAAATATAATATTGGAATTTAAGATTACATGGCAAAGAGTGTTACAAAACGATCAAGAGACACCAAGACATTTCACTTCTTATGATTTCCTACCATTACAAGATTTTCCATGAGTTTGCCTCTAAAACAAAGGAAACATTTCCTTTTCTAACTTCACAGAGGACACAAACAACAACAGCTTATTAAAATATGCATGCACACTTTCGCACAAATACCACATGCACGCATGTACACAACACACACACATTCACATACACCCAATCACTATATATAATTCAAAAGAAGGCTTAAAAAATTTTTACCTTGTTCATATCCCTATCCTTTTGTCCTAGACATTTAAAGTCCTTGTTTGATCCACACAGAATTTCCTAGCCATCAGACGCTCTAGTACTGAGCTAGCCGTCTTTCAGGAGTGCTCTGTCCCTTCTGAAAAAAGCAAACAACTGGATAGATATCATTACACTAAGGAAATCTCTTGGAAAAAAACCAAACAACTTGCTAATCTTTGTAGCCCCTTCATCCAAAGTTAAAGATAAGAAAAACAAACCTAAGTGAGTTTCAGCCACATTCCAGGGACAAGCTCCCCTTTTCTTCTTTATCAAAATACTAGCTTTTAAAGTCCCCCCCCCAGACCTTGCAGGCTAAACTGCTGCTCACACCCGCAAACAAAGCAATATTTGTTTAATAACTGATTGCTGCCATGGGTACAGTAAACAAGAGCCCTGGCGTTTGTGTTTATGAACAAACACATCTTCTTGCAAGAGCAATTTAACATTAACCAGGTGGAATAATCAACAGATTTCATAGGTGACACTCAGGGCAGGACAACTGTAAACAGAGGAGGGAGGAGAAAGGGGCCACTCTCAGGGAACCAAGGTTGAGGCAACTGCATGGCAGTGTAAACAGCTGGGGAGAGGTCAAGACAAACAAACAGTCATCTGCCTGACATTTAGAGAGAGCAGGAAGGTTGCCTGTTACATGCATCAGCTGCTGACTGCCATGAAATCAGACCAGGATTGGGGGAAAGGGCCACTTGATTAGAAAGGGCCAGGTCACTTCTAAAGTTGCGGCCATCCCACTTGCAATCTTTAGCCTTCACACTAACCAGCCAAACGCCCTTAACTTCCATCTCCAACCCACATCCCCCCCAAAAAATAAAGGATTTAAAACACAGAAAAAGTAGAAAAAGCCAGAAACAAAAGTGCAGCAACTGTTAGTTTTTTCCCCCCATAGAAAGAAAACAAAAACTTGCATTCCTTAAGGAAATGATTGTTGTTGCCTCCTTTCTGACTTATGGTGACTCTAAGGCAGTGGCGTCACTAGGGTTGGTGTCACCTGGTGCAGTAACTCATGGTGTCACCCCCCCCATCGACTTCCTCCCATTTCACAGAATCCTACAGAACCCTTAGTAATGCTTTTTTTTGCATTAATATTACTTATAAATCATAATTCCCATATATCACAGAATGTAACACTAACAGTTATGACCTAAACAACTAGCAAAATTAAAACTATACTTTCAAATTACAATATCATATGCACAACCTAAATGTATTTACACATATACAGTGAATATTTAATTAAAATGTGATGTTTTTAAATAAAAATTTAAGAATATTTTTTTTAAAAAAATCATTTTTAAAAAAAGCATTAAAATTAAAATTATTTTTTTAAAAAAATATGGGGCCTCTCCTGAGCTTCACCCCACTCCCGCTATCACTTAAAGCATTTTAAAGGGAAGTAGATGAATGCCACAGCCAGTTTCTGCCAAAATGTAGGTGTCTGAAGAGCAGTGGTCACCCCCCCTTAGGGTGTCACCTGGTGCAGTCTGCACCCTAAGGGTGCCCTAAGGTGAAACTATCAAGGGGTTTTCTTGGCAAAGTTTGTTCAGAGGCTGAGAGTGTGTGACTTGTCCAAGGTCACTCAGTGGGTTTCTATGGCTGAGCCAAGATTCAAACCCTAGTCTGCCAGTATCTTAGTCCAATGCTCAAACGACTATACCACGTTGGCTCTCATAGGCATCATCTTAAATCAGTTCTTAAAATTAATTACTAATGTCTATGAATTAGAACTGTTTGGAGTCTTGTTGATTTTGTGTGCCTTCAAGTCCTTTCTGACTTATGGCGACCCTAAGACAAACACATCATGGGGGTTTTCTTGGCAGGATTTGTTCAGAGGGGGTTTGCCGTTGTCATTCTGTGAGGCTGAGAGCATGTGACTTGCCCAAGGTCACCCAGTGGGTTTTATGACCAAGCTGGGAATTGAGCACTGGTCTTGAGAGTCATAGTTTAACACTCAAACCACTATGCCACACTGACTATGCAGTCTTTTTAAAAACAACAACAACAACCCAACTCTGTTCTGTTATCTGGCAATGAAAGGAATGGCATGAAACTTTTGGATTTAAGCAGACATTCAGCATAATCCATGTCATGAGTATCAGCCCTAAGGTACAAATTAAAGCTGTGGTCTAAGAAAAATTGAAATCTGGTGGCAATCTCTAGTCCTTCTCTGCAAAATCTGAGCATCATGTTCCATGCCCCCTTCACACCATACAACTGTACAAGAGATCTATGGCTCAGAATTCTAAATGCTCCTCCCTGAACTGCAAATCCCAGGATCGCCTAGGCTGCAACCCTGGCAACTGAAGAGGAATTATTGTGGCATAATTTTGTAATTGTGAAAGAGCCCCTAGTCTCTATATAAACTACTATCCAATTTATTGTAATATATCTGCACCTACAGAAGTCCCCAAACAGCCCAGGAACTGCCACATACTCCTTAATTAAGCGTTGATGCACTGGTTGAAAATAATTAATTTACAGACGGGAGATTATCACACGGAGGAGACAAGCGTCATCCTCCCGTCATTAAATCGTCCTAATAGCACGATCAGGAGGGCTCACATGTCCTGATTAGGCACTTCTGCCTGGGTGATACTGGGAGTTGTAATCCAAAAGGTAAATCTTTTCTAGAATCTATGACTACTTATGAATATGCCTATGTATGCATTTGCCATTTTATATACTGGTTTGACTACATCCATACATGCCCAAGTTTCAAAATTTAGCTAAGATCTATGCATTCAAGGACTCCAATATAGCATCATTCTGTGTATTAACTTTGTCTTCAGATTTCTGGGTAACAACCAATATGAGGAGGTGGTTAGAGATCAGGAAAAATAATAATCAAACACAGGTTCAGACATGAAGCTTATTGCATAATGACTTTGCACTATTCACTTCTTTTAAGCCTACCCTACTTCACAGGGTTACTGTGACAATGGGACATGTATACTGAGCTGAGTTCCTTGCGTGAAAGTGGGATATTGTTCTTGCTGTATGTCTTCAAGTCATTTCTGGCTTACGACAACCCTAAGGTGAACTTATCACAGGATTTTCTTGCCAGGTTTCTTCAGGGGGGTCCTTGTTATTCCCATATTCTGAGGCTGAGAGAGTGTGACTTTCTCAAGGTTTACATGGCCAAGTGGAGATTCAAACTTTGGTCTCCCAGAGTCATAGGAGATTATCATACATCGCTCCCCCATCCTTATCCTGTCCATGACCCAAGTGAAAATGATTGTGTGGATCATTTTCACACTGCAGCGGGCTGGAAAGCACTTTCAGCCATCATGGTATTAATGAGTTCTTCCGTTAATACAAAAGACTGCAAATGACATCTGAAACCACTTTTCAGCTGGCTGCACCATGAAAGTGAATTGCACAATCACTTTTACTTGCACTTCCCTGCTGGGTCAAGTACAGGTTAAGTATGAGTTGAGTGAAAGTCCTTCCCACGATCAGGCAGGAAAGACAGGACAGGGACGGGACAATGACATCCCATCCCTCATGTGATAAGTCTTATCATCTCAAAGCACTACACCAGACTAGCTCTCTATAAATGATATGATTCAATCTATCAGCCTCTAAAATCCACCAGATCTTTAATCATTGCAATTTATATATGAAAGGGTGAGGGGCAGGTCTCACAATGAATTTTGAGGATCCTCAGGAAAAGAGCAGAAAAGCCCAAGAGCATGTACAATTGCCACCCAACTCGGTAAAGGCTCTCTGTGGGCCTCGGCAGACGGCTAATAGAGCCGTCTTCCGGGCCTGGAAGAGGAGGGGCAGCCGCACGAGCGGCGCCCCTTCCTCTTCCCGAGGTCGCCCTCGGAGTCGCCAGCCCTTCGCACGGCCGGCGCTCCGGGATGACCTCACGCCACGGCGATCAGACGTGCCGCGGCGTTTGAGTCAGGGAAAGTGCGCCTGCCGCTTTTAGGGCGCACTTTCCCTGAAATCTAAAAGGAGCGCCAATTTGGTGCTCCTTTTAGAGTCGCCAACGGTGCGCCGCGGTGCAGCTGCCGCGGTCCAGCAGCGCACCGTCCCGCGGCGCACGGGAAGCTCCCGTCTGCTTCCCCCCGTCTCTCTTTTGTACTACAAAACAGCAAGACTAGAACCCAATAAAGAGGCTGGCCTCTTTTGTATGAATTTTGAGAACAAAAACCTATAAGATACTTATGCAACAGATCTCAAAGATGGATATTATGAAATCTGTGGTCCAGACTTACCTGAATATGAATAAGATTCAGATATTCTACGTGTCGTTTTCCTGAACATTCAGGAATTGGTGCACTGCTGTTTTTTGTTTTTATTTTTAAATATTGATAACAAAGAAGAGTGAGTAAAGAGTAAAGAGTAAAGAGAAGGAGACAATGTTCTGCTTTAAGGGGCCCATACCCTTTTGGTTTTGGGAAAGAAAATGTCATCTTAAACCACAGCACTTCTATATGTTTGCAAAGACAGAAATTCAGTTGACTCCACCATGCCCAATCATGATCTACCGATCATACGGAGGAGCTTAATATGAAACCCTTCAGATGTGCTTTGAATGAGCATACACACACACACACTTGCAGTATGTCAACAAAGTAGAGTGTGAGCCTAGTCCCTTCCATGTTCCCGTAACCCTTGGATTAATAGAACAAGGAGTCTCTTCTTGGGTTCGTTGTTCATTAATAGGGATAGCAATCTTAAACACTGCCAATACAGGAATAGTAGGGAGCCATGTGACCAGATGCAAAGGAGGACAAGGCACTACAAAACGTAATACTTTCAATGAAAATGTAGGACATTACACACTAAAGGCTGAAAACACTACTATAAATTCATGCTTAATAGAAAACACTAATATAAATATAAATCCATGAAATTCTTCCCGGACAGAAAGTTGAAATGTAGGGCATGTCCTGGAGAAAGAGGATGCTTGGCCACCCTAGTAAGGAATGACTTTCAGACACATTTGTAATCCTGGCCTTTTTAATACTGCTTCTTCAAAGGAAAGCTGAGCAGGTAAAACATATTCCAGTCTACTACAATAAAATCTGCTATAGCGTTATAAGCACAACCAGTCATGAGGCAAGAGGGATTTTCTTAAATGAAAGGCTACAGCCTGGAAAATCTGAGCAAGTTCCTTTTGTGTGCTTCCTGTATCAGAGAGCCAAAGTAGGAGGACATGTTCCTGAACAAAATATGTGTATGTGTGATCATTCAAAGTAAGAGCGTTGCATCAGAATAATCATACTAAAGTTTATTTCTTCTGTCTTAGTGGGCACATTGTGTGGAGTTATCAACTTTTCTTTGGAATACATATACACTAGATTTAGGAGATAGTGGTTGAAAAATGAAAAACTACAGATGTAAATATCTCAACATCCACAGTACGATTCTATCACAGAATTTTAGCAACAGTACTTTAACAGTACTTTAATATTTGGAAATGTTTATTCTTTCTCAAATGTTTGCAGTCATAAAGCCCAAATTCAAAATATGAAATCCAGAGAAAACTAGAACATGTTCAGCCTCTTATTTCTGTATTAAGATATCTTCAAATTGCAGTTGAACAGCTTCTGCCACAGATTTTTCCCAGCACGTAAAATCACAGTTTATTCAGTACAAAGTAAGTACTGTATGATAAAAACTACAAGCATATCATTCAAATGTTTTATTGGTCAAATAGATGGATGCTTTTATTAGTTCAACCTTTTTTGTAATGGAGTGCCACTGATGACCCAGTGTTATCCTCATTCCCTGCTATTAATCACACTCCTAAGAGCTCATTTTGCTTTAAAATCTTAAGAAATTGCCATAATTTAAAGACATGGTGTCTACTTAATGGGAAATGCTTCACAGATTGTATTGCTTCTTATAACCATAGCATTATGGCTATAGTGACCACAATGCTAAAGCATGAGAAAACTGAATAAAATAATTCAGTGCTAGGAAAGCTACACGTAAACTCTCTCTCTAGTACATGTAGTTTGCTATATCTTTAGTGCCTTAAAATCACAGTGTTTGGGGAATTGCAGAATTCAAACATGCATGGTTTATGTAGATTAAGGGCCTAAGCAGACTATCAGAAATAGTTCACATTAAATTGAGGCACTGCCCTGGCTCAGTGCTAGGGAATCATGGGAATTGTGCTTTTTTCTGAGACACTGAACCTTCTCTGTCAGAGAGCTCTGGTGCCACAATAAATTACAGTTCCCATGATTCCCTAGCACTGAGCCAGGGCAGTGCCTCAATTTAATGTGCACTATTTCTGGCAGTCTGCTTAGGCCCATAGACTATCAAAACATTCTCTATGCAAGTATAAAATAACAAATAAGTACATTTAAGAGGATCCATAGCACAAAGAGTTAAGATGGGTTTAAAAAAATAATGCACTGAGTACACTCTCTATGTAGGTAATTGAGCAAACTTTAAATCTTCTCAGTTTAAAACAAGAAAACTAAGGTTATTTCTTGGTTGGAAATCGCCTCTACATCAAATGACAAAAAGCTGCAAAATTTAAAGGAAGATCCATTAATTTGCAGGATGATCATCTTCAACTGTAAAATATTTTAGCAATACTGACTTTTTGCACAGGAAAACAAATACATGGCGATTCCATCAAAATGTAAAAGCAAAAGATAAGAGAGCCACTTCATTTTTCATTTAAAGAAAAAACATCTTTAAACATGTAAATGTGAGATTATTTTATAACTTGATTACAAAAGAGGCTTATTATTTCAGCTCTTCAAGAAGATATCAGTAACGACAAGTTTTATAAACATTTCTGCAAAGCACAAATTCAGAGTATCTGATTATTATTATTATGGTAAAGGTAATGGATACATATTAAGTGTACAAATTGTTGCTAAGAATTAGCTCCTGTTTACAGCTGAAAAATTCATACTTGATTTATGTAAATTACTTATTGCCATTTCTTCATCTCTCAATTGGAACAATTCTTTTAAACGTGAAAGACTAAAAGTTCATTA